GATGGATGGATGGATGGATGGATGGATGGATGGATGGATGGATGGATGGATGGATGGATGGATGGATGGATGGATGGATGGATGGATGGATGGATGGATGGATGGATGGATGGATGGATGGATGGATGGATGGATGGATGGATGGATGGATGGATGGATGGATGGATGGATGGATGGATGGATGGATGGATGGATGGATGGATGGATGGATGGATGGATGGATGGATGGATGGATGGATGGATGGATGGATGGATGGATGGATGGATGGATGGATGGATGGATGGATGGATAGATAGATAGATAGATAGATAGATAGATAGATAGATAGATAGATCGTTTGTTGTTTGTGGATTAAAATGCGCTGTCAGAGAGAGGGGTAAGTGGGAGGGTCGATGATGTAGCTTTTCACAGTGAGTACAGTGAGTGTATTCATTTCACATGTATTCATTTCACATTTCACATCTTTTCGTAATATGTCACTGATTTTTTTTTTTTTTTTTGACGAAGACATGCTCACGTCCTCCACTGTCTCCATAATCCCATCATCATCATTCTGGATGTAGACTCATCATCAAATTTACACGATGATGAAAGTAATGAGAAAGGAAAATGAGAGCTACTTCAAGGGTGTTGACCAACAGGAAGAGTGACCGATTTGATCATTAATACTGGAATAAGGTAATAATAATGATGAAAAAAAAAAATAGTTGCCAGAACTGTATTGTAACTGATTCCAAAAAAACAGCAATGCAATCAATTACAGGAGTCCATGAGGGGTGCCCCAGGGCATCATGGTATTGGCCCCTGATTTACAACATACTGTATGTTTGTTTGTAGATGTTTGGCATCTAGGTCTGGCGTGGGCAAACTTTTTGACTCGTGGGCCACAACTGTCCTAAAATTGAACAAGGGGTCGGGTCAGGAGCAGATAGATGGAGCGTTGGTGTGAACTAAGATAAATGACATGTAAAAGTCATGCATAAAGGCTAAAATGCTAAAATGATTTCATCATTTTCTAGGCCATCTATTGGGGAAACGTGGGTATTGCAGGGAAAAGGCAGAAGTACAATGATAATATAAATAAATTATATAACAAATTATATAAAGCTTGGCGGACCGGATTAAAAAGCTGAACGGGCCGCATCCGGCCCCCGCGCCTTAGATGGCCCATGCCTGGTTTAGAACAAGACAACAGCGCTTTTGTGTTTTGCTGATGTCATAGCCTGTTACCATGATGCGATTTTCTAAAAAAAAGAGACTTAAAAAGGAACCTTAATATTCAAATAGGAAAACCATAGAGACTTAAAAAGTACCTTAATATTCAAATAGGAAAACCATAAATATTCTTGTCAAAACCTTAGCACTCACAGATATGGTTGTTGTCTATGTGTGAGAGGTCACAACTTTCAAATCAGATAAAATCAAATTGCTCTTACGCACACTTTTCACACATAAACTCTGCGGTTTTTATACACCCTGGTTACTACTGCACCTTACACTGCGACTCCCATTATAGCTAACCAGTTCCAACTGCCTCCTTCTGAACTGGTTCGCACGCCTGTTTAAACCGTAAAGAAGGTAGCATTGAATCTGATGTGGAACCACTTCCTCCATTAGGCTAACGATTGATTTACTCCTTTCCAAATACTGCGTACGTTTCTTTGTTTTTCAATAAACGAAGCCTCTTAAGTCTCTCCTCCGTATGCCCGCAGCATGTTGTTGAAGGTTAATGTGCACATGGTGGTGAGCAAAAGTAGTTTGGAAAGTTTGCACGGGTGAGACGTTTTGTGTGTGTGTGTGTGTGTGTGGGAGAGGGAGAGAGAGAGAGAGAGAGAGAGAGAGAGAGAGAGGGGGGCTGTGGAAATGAATGGGAGTGAATGAAAAGTCCCAAAAAGTTACATTGGAATTTGAAGTTTGTATGTATCATTGTCTGTGTGTGGTTTGTGTGTGTGTGTGTGTGTGTGTGTATGTGCATGTACTGGTATCCTCGTTCTCAGAAGTCACATGACCGTCCCTCCGCCCCTTGCTCTGGGCTGTTTCTCAACCATGAGCTGAGGTTCACAGGGTAGTTTTTAGGGACTTTCCCTTCTTGCATGTCTCTCTCTCTCTCTCTACCTTTCTCTCTACCTCTCTCTCTCCCTGTTTGTTTTG